ACAGTATCAATTACAAGAGTTACCTGGCGCTCATATAGCGATAACAGTTTACTTTTTGATTATTTCTTTTTTCCTACTCTCACTTCAGCCGATATTTTTTCAGCAGGCAAACAATGGTCCACCTGTCGAAAAAGGTGGTTTCGAGCAATTTGCCAATGCGTACGGGCTGTGAGAGCATATGATTTGTTTTCACTAATCGTTGCAGAAATATATTATTTCCATTTTTGGTGTCGTTTTATACCCATTTCTTTTATATTTGACATGTATTGAAAAGTAGCTGAGTATTCAGTTTTATATAAGCGACACAGCAAATGATGATGTCAAATTTGTATTGTTTGATGTTCCATGATTTTCCGATGGTGTGATCCTTTTACGAAACAGTATCGAGTTTGAGTATCTGATTCTGAAATTTGTACTAGTTAACATGACGGTCGTTTTTGTTTTTCACGGACATGAAATATTTGTTTGCCCGTGAAACGAGGAGCCTATTGATTCTTCATAAAGATTGTCATTGAGCTTCCTTCGTTTGCCGTGTTGGCTCAAGCAATGCCGTAATGTGAGGAGGAACTAGCGCTGGAGCAGGGTGTTTCCTGAGGGATCAGGCTGCTAATGCTCACCGCGGCACCACTCCGCACTTCCACGCTAAGCTTTTATTTCTCTTTACGGTCCTTGTTTCATAATGGAAAAAAGGACAGCAAAGATAGGATTATGTACTAACCCTTTGGGATCTCATGATTGTTCCCCTCCTGTTGTCCTGACATTTCACTCCACAAATCCTCAACGAGAAGAGCGCGTATGATGTCACCCGGACGATTTGAGGGTAGTAACTTTGAAGCACGTCCCGCATTTACCTTAGTCTGTACAGAGGCCACCTGCGGTAGTCTGGTACGCAAGCAAAGAGGATGTACACAACTTTTGCGGATAAGTATAATAGTACGGGGTGGGGACGCTAGGCGCTCGTGACGATGACAGTGCTCCGCTCATGGCCCCGTGTCACCACCAAAGTTGATGCCTAACGGCACCCTTATGGTGCGCCTTGTCCCCCACCAGCCCTTGCTCCTTCTCGTGACAGTCAAGTACATCTTCGTTTTGCTGTATGCTTGTGCGAACTCATAGTTCCTTTATAGGGCGTCTCGGATGTTCTCTTTTCTTTGCCCACTGTTAAAGGCTGCTGGCACCATTATTGGTGCTCGGCCTAAAATGCTAGTAGGGCGCTGTATAGTGGGGAAATGGCGAAAGAACGGAGTGAAACGGTCAAAATCCTGCGAAAAAGAGCCTCCGTTCTCAATGACTTGAAAATCAATTTTGGACGAGTTTCCCGTAGGCATCTTGCCAATAACCGCTACCGAAGGTACGGCTGCATATGTGTACTCATATATCCATGCAGCATCACGGCCGCTTCATACCAATCCCTTCGCTTCATAATTTGCTTAGCAAATGAATCGATTAGAGCGTCAGGAACGGTCGTCCATTTGTGGGCGGGCGGGCGTTTGGGTCGGTATGTTGTGGCTTGATAGGGCCCTTATAAGGGCACCTTCCTTGGAAAAGGCGCTATGCAGCGCCTGCTCAGGGTCGCGGAATTCCGTCCTGCCAGGCGTATTAATCCTACTCGTCTTGGGGGATTTATCGTGCCAATTGCCTTTGAGAGGTCACCTTGCCACTTTATTTGAGCCCTACTGCCCACCGTTTTTGGTCACTTTACCTGCGTTCAATGAAAAAAGACTTATCATTGGAGCAGCCGAGAAAACAAAGAACGCCTACGAAAAAAGACGTGGGCGATCACACCGGGAACTTTTCAATGCAGGGTCACAAGATTATAAGTTCAGGTTGTCAGGCGGCGTACCGTACCCCCGAAATTTGCGCGTCCAGTGAAAAACATTGATGTCGGGTGCACGATCACACTACATTACACG